AGCCTGATTGTGGGTTGTTGTTTTTTTTTTTTTTGTTTGTTTGTTTTTTTTTTTGTTTGTTTGGGGTTTTGGTTGGTTGGTTGGGATTTTTTGCTGCCTTTGTCTTCCTCATTTTTGGCCTCTAAAGTAGCCTCCAGCACTAGATAGGTTTGAAATTTGTCTTGTTCCTGGCTTCTGCGATGATTCCAGACTTTCAGCCCTGCTAGGGTATTTTATAGCACTCTCTCTTTACTGAAAGGAAATCTTAGTTACTCTGTATCACCTGTAGTTTCAGTAATTGGTTACAGGCTAACAGGTCATCTTTCAAGAAGAGGTTCGCAACCTTTCATCTACTACATCCTCTTTAGCAGGAAGTCAAATGTGGTTTCCCAATCTTAAAATCTCCTGTCTCGCTATTTATGTTGTACCAACTTCCTTGCCAAACTTCACCCCAGAATGTGCTTAGAATCCTTCCTGACACCCATGCTCTCTTAGCAAGGCATGGGAAGAGCAATCACTGCACATCATCGAAGCGTATACTTTTTAATTTGTGATGAAAATGGAGCAATAGGAGCTCTACACAGAGTAAGAGGTGAACCTTGTTTTTTGTGTGGAAAGACCTAAATTAAGAAATATCATTACAGTGATTTTCCAGGATGCTGGGTAAAATCATGTAGAAACAGATTATTTATGATTTCCGTTAAACAATCACAGGATCAATCTAACCAAATAAAATTGTTATCTGATATGATAAAAATGGATGGTGACATTCATACCAAAAGCCTGAGTCAATACTTAGTTTATCCTGTACCCCTTATTCCTATCATATTTGATTAAGCATTAATGACTGTATGAGTGAGTCACACTTATCCTTTTTTTTTTTTTTTTTTTTTTTTTAATTATCCAGGTCTTTTGATTTTTAAGAATTGGCCAGCTTGATCTAAACAATCTCCTTATGATTTTTCCTCTTACAATATTGAGGACTTACCCTCTGGTGATATTTATATCGTAATGTGCTTTACCCATTTTGGGAGCTCTTCCCCTTGGTGAGACTAACTGTGGAGTAAGCTCATGCTCACCATGAAATGGGAAAATCTCATTATTCTTCTTGTCCTTTTTCCTGGGCATATCCTGTAAAACTGAAGTATCTGCAGGAACTTACTGAATCAACACAAAGGATGAAAAGGCTTCAATCTCTCTCTGTGTGTAACTCTTCGTGGAACTGCTGTTATTTGTTGGTCTTCAGAGACAATCTCTTATTCATTTCAGTCTGTCATCTCAAGTAAAAATGAACCAAGGTCACAGAATTGTCTTGATTTCGAACAGCAATTCACCTATCCACTAATAGCTTGTTACTGTTGATGTCTGAAACTGAAATTAAATGCTCTTGGGTTGATAAAAGTAGAGGTCACATTTGGATGAAAGGGAGATGTAGAAATTTAACAGAAAGTTGTCTCTGTATTACATGCCAAGCTAAATTATGACCCTTCAAGAGGTGTGTTTTTCATGGTATTTTGTAAGCTTTGACATTTGTAAAAAAAAATCAAGAAATTGATCCTCAATCAGTCTGTCCAGCTTAGTTAATTTTGGTGATACTGCATTAATTGACAGAAGTTATGCTTCTGTTACTGCAAGGTACTTTGGTTAGTGCTTTAGGAAAGAATTCTGTCAGACCTGGCAACATCATAGTTCACAGATGCTGCAATATTACCAGATATCTGAGAAACAAAACAATGCATGTTAATAATGTTAAAATGTCTTTGGAGACTTGCTTAGAAGTGCTACTTCACCTGCAATCTGTCAAGGGCTGGTCTGCCACCAGCTTCAGCTGGATTTCACCTCTTTGTGCTTGTGATATAGTCCTTAATTAGTTGATGATTTTTCTGTTAGGCTTTGTGGAATGCACAGTGTGTAGTAGTAGTGTTAGGTGAGATAACTTTGAGGTCAGAGCTCTTCTTACTGCAGACCTTTGAAGTAAACATTCCTCAAGACTTTCTTTGTGGTTCTTGATGAGTGTAAGCATTTTCGCTCCTCTGCCACACTAAGATTTTTAGATGCAGACATCATTAGGGTGCTTCACTGAAATTCTGTTGATAATGAAGTGCAAGCTTGTAAAAGGTGTGGTGTGATTATATTAGGGTCATGTAATTCTGATTTTCGTTAAATCCACTGTAATGGACATAAGTATTCGGGTCACTTAAACATAGATGTCTGCTTCTGCTTCAAATGTCCTGCTTGATTCTGGCAGAGCATGGATGCCTGTCCATTTGCCAGCCTCGGGGTGCCTCAGTGACACCATTTCTGAAATAGCACTGGATGCATGTCTTTGCCTCTGTATATCACATGTGAAAGACTGTAATTAAGACAGCAAACCAAGAGCTCAGATTTGGAAAAATACCAGCATGTCTACGGCTGGCATCTGTTATGCTGTTGGTTAGAGCTGTATGGAAACCCAAGATATCAAGCTTTATGTACCACATCATGATCTACTTGCTTCCTCACCCTTTTCAGAGACTCTGGCTATATATCTTTAGCTTGCTGTTTGTGGATGTGTGTTTGTGATACAGTTGTTAATGGTGTGATTGCATATTTGTCTGTCTGTGCGATCCTTGCTTCATTCAACATGGAGGATGATGGACAGTGCTTGGGGATTTATTAAGTCTCTGTAGTCAGACACTGTTGTTTTGAAAGATCACAAATGCTTTTCCTGCAGATGTTGAAATAAATGAGGCAGGGGGTTATAAGAAAAGAGAGGATGATATCATGTCGCAGCCAGTTGACCAATTGAGTGATGATCTGGAGAACTGGAACTCTGCCTTTGGGATGCTAGACAAATAACTTGAACCAGGCTTCACATCCTAGGCCTGACCCATTTTCTTATTTCTGCATATAGAGCAGTCTCCTCAGCTTGCTTTCCTGCATCCTCTAAAAACAAGCATGGTAACGTGTTGGTAGTTGACTGCAGTTAGGGGAAATGGTATATTTTCTGCTTTATGACTTGCAAGCTTTGTCTTCATTACAGTGCTTGGATAGTCCTCACTCTTCCCCTTTTTTGATTGCCCTTTTCTTGATTGCAGCTTTGCAGCAGTTCCTCAAAAACTGATACAGCAGGGCTTATTTACCAAGGTTCTCCAATGTCATGCTTTAAGTAGGACCCATGGTAAAATAAACTTGAATATAACAAACCAGCTATGCGATATGTCTACAAACACAATGTTACTTCTCTCTAATCTGCCTGTTTGCACCACTGATGAATTTACTGTGTAGATTTGTAATAAAAACAAACCTTTGCAATTATTAGCGCAGTAGGAGAAATAATGGTGGCTTTTTGTGTTACAGATTTTTCCTCTAAGCCTGAAAAACTACTCACTTTTTATGATAAAGATGGCTTATTCCTGTTGCCCTGGCACTGAGCTGCCTTGAATGAAAACCATGAACTGAATGTATGTTAAAATCTTTCTTAATCAGACTTCCTCAGACAAAAAAAAAAAAAAAAAAGAAAGAAAGAAACCCAGGGTTTTCTAGCCTCAAGCTATTGTTAGAGCTGACAGGATTAAAGAAAGGATATTGTATTGTTCTAGTGATCATAACAAACAAAGTTTTTATGGAAATGCCTGCATGCAATTGCTTAAGAGTAAGGGTCTTGGAGTGACATAAATCATCATTGTTTAGGGCTTATTCTGCCCTTTCGAAATTGAGGATAAGGAATTGTTTCTGTAAGACCAAGCCCCATATGGTGCTTTTGCTCACTGTTCAGGTCTGACTGTGGTCCAGCTGAATCTGAGAGCTGTTTCTGTCCAACAGTTTCCATGGTTTAGTTAGTTGTGTTTTTTTTTTTTGTTTTTTTTTTTTTTTTTTTGAGAGATGCAGAAAGCAATAACCTCTCAATATGCTTCTTAGTATGTTTTACTTCGATGCTTGGAAATAGTTCTGAAGTTTAAGGCCTCTGGTATCCCTTGATTTCAGTAGAAATCTTTACAAAGTGTTGGGAAAACAGTGGCCTTGGAAGAACCTGTTTAACTCCTGCCAGCTGGTTTGCAGTTTGCCCATTAAAGTCTCTTATGAATCTCTTGACAGCTGGGGTGTCCAGTGAGGTTATACACAGCTTCTGTTGAATTCCCTTCCCAGGTTTGCAGAGGGCACCATTGCTGCCTGTTTGTAGTTAAATGGGCAGCTGCCAAATGAACTCTCCCGTGCTGTTGCTGTGGATTAGATGCTGGAATTTGTTTTCTGTTATTTTCTTAGGTGCAGTTGGGTATGACTTTGGGAATTTCCTCTTTGTGGAAAAAGCTTTCAAAGTGAACGTGATATGAAAAGCTGTGTTAAAATGGCTAAACAGACCCTTACTATGGAGGGTTGCAGTTGTCTGGTGCAAGTTGCTAGCCATTGTGCTTATGCTGTCTAACTGGCTTTTTAGCTCTAAAATTCATGTCTCTTGAGGTGAGTGCAGGACATAGCCTTGTACCTCACCTTGTACAGAAAGGAGGATAAAAAGAGGACCTTTGTCTTTGTCCTAACTGTGTGAGCGCTTTATACATGAGCAAAGCATGGGAACGAGGAATTTGTCACTACTGTGAATGGGCTATTTAACTAAACGGTCATTATTTTTATTTATTTTTTAATTCCCCCCCCCCCCCCCAAGGATTGTAGTGCATGAAAGCATATACATTTGAAAGTATGTAATAAATATAATTGCCCTATTCTTTTGTTTATCTGTAGAGCTGCTAAAAACACTTGAATGACTGGAATTCAAGAGAATTGGTTCATGGTCTTACACCAAGGTACAGGAAATAAGCACAGGAAATTTCTCAAGTTCAGGCAAGTAAGTATCTATACCTGTGTAGCTTACATGAAATTAAGTTCTTGGTAAACAAGTGAATTGTGGAACCTTCTTAATATCAGAGAACTACTTTGTTACAAAATATGTACAAAATATTTTGTTACAAAGTATTTTGTTACAAAATATGGCTTAAAAAGAACGTAAGAATTTTGATTTTTTTTCCCCCTTTATTTAACAGTTAAAGGATCTGTCATACTGAAGTCTGCTTTGACAAACTAGGAAGTTTCTTCTGTGTGGGATTGAAATAGACATTTGTCAGTTCTGAATAAAAGCTAAAGCAAAAATGGCTGTCATAGATCCTTATCAACATATAGTGGTGAGTAGCTTTGAATCTTACCTGTATTCTGTCGTGTATATACTGTTGGGTATAATGTACCATATAAGAACTTGCTTGAAAAATGCATGCAGCTTTAGAGTTATTAATTCCTTAGAGAAATGGTAAGTGAGGTTAGAGTATAACGGAAGCGTGGTTAGAGCAAATTTCTTCAGGAATTTGATTGAAATTAGAAAGATTCAAGTTAGCTTTTTGAAAGCATGCCATGGCTTTGAGTATCATTGCTCATGTGTAAGTCAAAATGGAATACTGGCTCCTCGCAACCACCTCATGGATATGATGTGGTAGGATATTTTTCTAAAGGACATGCCTGTTCAAAGTGTTTCATCAAAGGTCCTGCAGTTGACTATTTCATTCAAGTTTTTGCACATGCTAATTTACTGATTGTCAAACTCAAATGTGATCTACAAAAGTAACATCATGTGTTTTTCTCCCTTACATTACAATTTTTTTGTATAATTCTAATTACCAAATAACTATTTTTCTCTTTTCATCAGCATGGATAAAGAGATAAGTTAGAAATTTTTGATATTTAAATTTTAAACTAGTGTTTATCAGTGATGTTGATTCAAAGAGAATCTTCAAACTATAGCCTGCAATCTCTAAGTATCAGTGGAATGACCTGTGCCACTCAACATCATACTGTTCCCAAAAACTCCTGCTTCCCACTTCCTGCTTTATTTTGGTGTTCCTGCTGCATCCCTTATACCAGCTATCAAATACATGTTATTTGGGTGAGCCAACTGACCTTGCTGAATTTGTGGAAAAAGTTGGCCAAGTTTCATTCTCTGCTGTCAGAACTGGCTTGAGGAAAGAATACATCCATGTGAGAACAATCTGCATAAATAGAGAAGTAGGGGCAAGGAAAGAAGTGGGAACAGAACTGCCCTTTGTGTGGCAAGCCAGTGCAGTGGCTCAGCAGCTAGTTGAATGTTGGCTTCTGGCTGTAATATTCACACATATCTTTGCTTGAGTGGCTTTCCAAAGTAAACAGTGAAATTCAATTCCTACTCAAACTGAAATCTTGAAACAAGCTGGGTGTGTTCCTTTGAAGCACTTTTCCTAACAGTCACATAATTTCACATCAGGAAAAGTGATACGTACGCAAAGATAGTTACCATACATTTGTTGTAATGTTGAACTTTTACACTGCTAAAAATACAATGTATACTTCCTTGAACTGATCCCTTATCAATTATGTGGTTTCTACCCCACACAGTCATATCCTTTGCATGAATTTGCAGCCAGCAGATGTCAAACTGTTGTTTTACTCACTCCATAGTTCTGTGGATGCTGCTGTAAAGACCAGTTTCAGGTTGATGTCTGTAGTTAAGCGTTATAACGCTACTCTTACTCCTTTCTGCAGCAGTGCCCTCTCGTGGATGGAATGCTTCATTTGATCTGTACTTCTATGGGTGCTCTGAGGCACTTATATTTCATTGAATCATTCACATGAAAAATCTTTTTTTGATACCTATATATATATATATGTACAATAATGAACAAAATGGAACATATACACTGCCATATCCTCTGGAAATGTTGAACTTGCTGTGGGAACGTTGCTGGTGCCAGAACACTGCTAATGCAAGAGTTGATCCTGTAATTGCTTGAAAAGTGAATGGAAATTTCTGAGGTTTCTTCATTTGAAAATTGAAATTGCTTATGAAAGACTTGGAGGAATAAAATAAAGCATTCATAAAGTTACTGCAGGTACAGACAGAACTGACTGTATCAAAAATGTTTTTAGATTCAGAGTATAAAGAATTAAGATGTGTAATATGCTTTTAGTAACATTGATATGGGAGATAAATATATTAGCAATGGGAAAAATCACTTGAAGATAAAATTTGTGTGTGCATGCACGAATGTTTGTCTTAATTGTCTTACCTTGTGAAAGAAGACCATGGAATTCATGACAATTTCTTACTTAAGAAAGCAAGGCAGTTGTCAGCTCAAGTGTCCTTAATGTTAAGTCTAAGCAATAAATACTTATTACACAATCTTATCTCTACCAGACCTTCCTGACTGGTATTTTGTGTGCAAGTATATCTCCTGATTGGGTTACATTTTGTGACTCAGCCTTCTGGGGTATGAAAAATATTACATTAATGCATGCAAATCCCTTGCTTTCTCAGTAAGCACGGAAGGTTCATAGGTAAAACCGGATTGTGTTACAAGAGATCTTAGTGCATTGTTCTGTTTCCCAGTCCTGTTGTGGGGAAGGTGATGGAATTTGTGTACATACAAATAAACTGAAATGTAAAATAGAGGAAACCAGATAGTTAGGGAAATTCTACTGGGAGGAAAAAAAAGCAGGCAAAGGTGGGAAAGGAGCAAGTAAGGCAGAGGGAGGAGTAAGAAGAGACGTAGAGGTGTGGTACAAGAACAGGAGATACTGAACCATGGCTATGCAGGATACTAGGAAATTGAACCAGTAAAGGGTGAATACTGTCTGTAGGAGTTTCCATAATTCAGAAAATCCATGTTCAGAGAGGGCATATTTTTACTTTTTTCCACAGGAATTGAAATGAAACACATATGGAAAGCTAGATTACTTTGGGTGTTAGGAGTTAAGTTTTTGATTATATTGTGAGCTTCTGAAATTTTTAATCTGGTTTAGATTTTTAAAGGTATGCAGATGTTGCTCCACTCAGTGTTGCAACATTTAAGTGATTTATGTGCTATCATCTATTTTTCAGGATAATTGTAGAGTTGCCAATGTACAGATTTTTATCAAGGCTTAAGGTGAAGTCTCTTTACAAAATGCAGCTTTGTCATCTAAACTAGCAAGGGCTGGATTTCTAAAGGTATTCATAGTCAGTACATTTCTTGAGGTATTTCCAGGGGGCATCTGACTTCTTTAGAACTCAGTCTTTCCAAAAAACTAAAAACAAACAAAAAAAAGCTTTTGAAAGTTGTGCTAGCTGTTAATTTGGGCCTTGAGATACTTTCAGAAACTGGATCCTAAGTGGAAAATTGCCTTAATTTCCAACTGCACTTAAATTTCATGAAAAATGTTTATTTTGGTGTAAGAAAAGATCTAGACTCTGAGCTCCCTGTATGTCTCTGTGTATATAGGGCTTTTTTTTGTTGTTGTTTTACTAAGAAGGAGATCGTTTATTTTAGTAGTGGCAGATTTCTTCCAAGTGTGCGATTATGGCCAAATATTAATATCTCTAATTATAAACCTTAATGTGTTATTTTAGGTGAGGCATTGGGAAAGAAGATACTGGTTTTGTTTTGCCAGACCTCTGTGTACTCGCATTCGGATTGGAGGATACCAGATCTTAAACTAGACTTAACTTTTTTGGCAAAACAACAGCTAGAATGATGGGGTTTGCTGCTTAAGTGAATAAAAAGCAGTTCTCACCATAGCATTAGCAAAGCTGTTATTGACCTGTAATAGAAGGTAGAGATTGTAGGCATTTTCATAAGTCATGTGAGTTTCCTAAGTAGGACTAGGAGATGCAAGAAGTGCTTTTTGTCAGTGAGCATCTTGTATCCTCATTTTATAGTCAGGACTGTAAAATGGGGAGACTACACCAGAATTGCATGAATTCCACTTAAGAGCTAAGAAGTAAATCCAGCACGCCGATCTCCCATACTTGTAACTTAGTTGTAACTCTATCCTCCTTCTTGTTGCTAAATGTTCAGTGATCTCTGATTTGTGGCCTCTAGTGAGGACAGGTTCTTTCTTAACAGCAAAGAATGAGAAGGGTGGTGTGTTAGTACTTTGGGCTATTTCTTTTAATTATAAGGTCGTATATGACAAAGTAACTACATCAGTCTGTGTGAACAAACTGAGGGGAGTGCTACATTGTGAAACTGGCACTTCAGCGGTTTGACATGCTTGTGGAGGTGGTGCACACTGATAAAAAAGCTTTGAGCACTTTCAAGAAGTGTCTGAGTTCCAGCTGTACTGCGGTTGATGAACCACTTGCTGTGCAATGACGACTTCAGTATACCACTTGTAATAGTTTCATTGCCACAGTTTCCCCTCTGCTGGCTTACTTGTTCTTTGAACCAGACAACTCCTACAGCTTACAGGGGAAAAGGAGTTGAAATTTACTGCTGGACAGACTGTCATGAAATGAGCCTCCAACAGTCATCACAGCATGTGGGTGATTACAGCCGTAATAAAGATGCAACAGTTCAGTGTTTGGGTTAGCCAGTGCCCGTGATGAAGTCATACTCTTGGTATCACTGTGGGCATTTTCTCCTAGTTATTTTTTGCCATGGTGATGAGGCTGTGCCTTTGAAGACCTCTAGACTACTTTTTTTTTATTTATTTTTTTTTTAACTTGTATTAGAGATGTCAAATTTGGTTCTTGTTTCTGGGTGTAGGCAAGTTGTAGATGTGAAATAATGGGGCTTGGCTGCAACAACCAGTTCTGAAATTGCTGTGAGAACCATCTGAAACACCTGGAGGCCCTTATAATGTCTAGCAGTTGCAACAGCAGTAGCTTAAGTGGAGGCATGTGCCACTGTTGAAAACAAAGACATACGGGTTGAACTAGGTAGACTATATTACCCCTGGTGGTCCCTTCCAACCTCAACCATTCTTTGACAGTCTTTGTAGAAGCACAGCTCAGGTATGAGGTGGCCCCTCCCGGTGCCTGAGTTTCTGTTGCAGAAGACCAAGCTGGTCACGCTCCAGGTTGAACCAGCTTGTGAGTCAACATCTAGGCACTGTGGGCAGTTGGACAGCTTGAGTGTCGTAGGACTGGCTTGAAGATAGCAGTGTAGATGTAAGTGTTGAGAGGCAATTGTGTGAGACCTGATCCTTGTTCAATAACATAAAACTTACCTGCAACCTCTGTACTGTGTCCCTATAAAGGCCAATGTTGTCTCCCTTGCAATATGCCATTCTGGTAGTGGTATTCAGTAGGTGGATCCAACTTACGGCTATGTAGGTAAAGTGAAAAAGATGTGAGTGACTGATCTCTTCATTAAAGTTTTAACATGTGTTTTTTAGTTTCATGTCTTTTTTACTTCCCTAGTTCATTCAGGTCAGATCTGCAGTTAGAAAGGCAGCTCCTGCTATGTGCTTAGGCTTTGCAGGAAACAGGAGGCTCTAGAAGCTGCTTGCAATTTGCTTGTGAATGTTTTAACAGCCTGATTTTTCACTTTGCCTCCATTGTCTTAAGGACACTTACACTTTGAATATTGGTGTGTTCAGAAAGGTATATTCTGTGCATTACTAACTATATCCCTTGTGTGTGCAGTATGCATATATCTTTTCCAGAACATATACTTTGAAATAATTGCACCCATTCTTTATACTCGGGCAAGGTAATTACAAAACCAAGTACACTGTAAAAAAAGCCCCCTTTTAATTTTTTTTTTCTTACTATACCACATTGTCCCTGGCTGAGTAAATGCCTTAAAGCAGGCTCTGTAGAGAGGAGGAGTGTTATTCATTAAGATTAGTAGGTGTGGCTGCAGGAAAAACAAGCACTGACCTTTCAGTAAAGCTACAGGGTGCAGTTCAGCTTTAAGATGCTCTATCCAGTATGAGTTTCACTTACGTTTTGACTGGGTGATTTCTCTCAGAGTTTTTGGACAAAATGAAGCCTATTTTGATAGTTTGTTTTTTGTTCTGGAGCTTAACCTTTTCTAACTCTCTGACTTCCAGGTAGAACACCAGTATTCACACATATTCACTGTGACAGTAAGGAAAGCCACAAATGTCACAAAAGGAGCGATTGGTGACATGCGTGAGTATTTCTGTTTTGTCTCTTTCTTCTTAGCAGACTGTTGCTATAGGCAGGGGGAGATGACACATCAAGCTTGTCATACATTAAATGATTGTTAGTGGGCTGGTGTTTGCTTTCTTTTTTTCTTTTTTTTTTTTTTTTTGCTTGTTAAATCTAGGGCAATGTACCCATTTCTTTGCTCACTCTAACTCAGAAAGCAGATTTGCCACTCCTTCTTTCCATTGATCCAAAAAGCTCAGCAAGTTGTAAACAATTTGCCTACAAGCAAGCAACCACCTACATTTAGTCTTTTGGCTCAGTTGGAAGTGCTATTTTAACTATAGTGAAACTGGCAATTGCTGTATCTTCAAAGGACTGTGGTTTGGTGGTGGGAACACAAAAGAAAAAAATAAAAGCCCAGTGCTCTGCTGAGTCAATGCAGAGCAAGAAGAAAAAAGAAAAGTCCCAAATGGCTAAGGATAAGCAGATCTTATGGTAGAGAGCTGTATAAGACACCAGCTGAATCTGCAAAGAGAATATTCCTGCTTCCTAGATTATGACTGTTTTGATGTCAGGTCATCTCTTCCTTTTGCTGGTGCTTTATGCTAAGTGTTGCGTAGCCCAAAATATGCAGGCTAGAGTTGGGAGCGTGAATGTGGTGCCACATTGCCGATCTCTCCTCAGGCTCGTTTGACATGCAAGTGTTTCTCTCCTAGCATGATCCTGGTAACTGCTTTTAGTTCAAGCTACAGCAACTTCTCTGACACACAGCTTTGCTTCAGTGCGTTAACAGTTTTGGTTTTGGGGGGTTTTGTTTGGTTTGGTGGTTGTTTTTTTTCTCCATAGTTAGTGTCTACTGTTGAGAATAAACTTGGGGGGAGGGGGGGGGTGTAAGCAGGAGGGACAGTTGGAAGGGGAATGTTGAAAAACCAAAATTATAAGGAGAAGCAAAGGGAGCCCTGGCAGGAGGGGAGAAGGAAGCTTCTAATGTAGGTTGAAGGAAAGGAGCACTCAGACAAGATGCATGGGGTGCTATTCTGGTGGTCTCTGAGAGGGTCTTTACGTAAGATGATCTCAGGAAAAGGACTGTGAAGACGAGAATAAGGGCCCCACAGGTGTGCATGTGTAAGAAGATGGGTTAAATGGGAAAAACACAGGTTCTCAGACACAGAGGTCTCTGTCATGAGACAGTGTGGGGAACATGGGAAGGAGAAATAAAGGGGCTGAAATGGGGTGACATGGTATGATGTTAAAGGGAGCATGGAAAGAGTGAAGCAAGCTGGAAGACCATGGCTTTACCTCCAACCTCACAGGAAAAGTATGGTCCAGTGTAAATCCCAAATATTGTCTATCGATACAATTGGATAGTTTTTCCAGATAAAATTCTTGCCTTACCAAATTGTCAAAACCAAAAAAGCTACTCAGGAAGAACTTGTTATTTTGATAAAACCTGACAAAACTATGCTCAAGGGCCCCTTACTTAGTTTCCTGTCTGAGGCAGCTAGGAGTGCTCCATAGCGTGAGGCACCTGCAGCCTGAGGCTTCTCTGAATGATTTTCTTAGTTTCTGGGGCTTGTTCATGGAGTACTGGCAAATCCCCTGAATTTAAAAAAACAACTAAAACATTGCTTCTGGTTTTCTTTTGGGAAAATGAAAAATGCGTATACACATAGGAAACAAGAAGTTTGATGTGTTGAAGCCTGGAGTCTTATTTGATAAAATCGGTAATCATGTTAATTCATACTAATTAAAGATGTATAAAGCTGTGAGTGGTTGAGGGTCTTTACATTTGGTGGTTCCAGCTAATATTTTTTTTCTTTTTTCATTTGCTTTGCCAAAACTGTAACCTGTTAAAGGAATTTCTGAAGTTTACATTAGATTTTTGACCTCAAGGGTAGGATTCATTACCAGGGAGGGTGGCTGTAATACATAATCAGGTGCCTTGGGCAGGGTGGGTACCTGAGTGTAGCTCTCCCATGATGGACACTACCAAGCTATTGACTCTTTTGATGAGTTTCTCCTAATTTGTTCTGTTGTTGTTGCTCAAGTTTGTGTAGACAGTGACTGCTCTGTGGGCAAGAGAGATAATTTTACATTGTGGTGGTGATGGAGGTCCTGGGGAACATGAGAGATTTTGTATAATGTTTTGCTTTTCATTTTTCCATATCAATCTTTCCAGGTCTTTCTGGAACAGCTGTGAAAGACCTGAGTAAATCGAAGTATTAAATATGTGGAAGTGCTTATTATTTTGCTGTTTGTGTGTGGCATTTTGCATTTTAAGTATTTCAGATCTACCTCTGTTCAAGGAGTTTTAGAGATCTAGTATGCATGATGCCCCAACTGTAGGTGGGCACAGAGGGCCTAAATGGCATAGTTATCCACACCTCTGTCTCCTCACGCCTAGGCTTGGGACATGTGCAGTATTTTCAGCAAGTTTTTCAAGATTTTTTGAGCTCTTCATTAATGAAGAATATAAATGGTTACATCATCCTTAAAACTAGGTAGTAGATGCCCACTACACTGTAACTTCCACAGTAATACACAGTAACTTCCACAGGCAGTGTTTTTCCTCAAGTGATAGACAGTTCATACAGAACACTGCTGATTCAAGACATATTTTTAGGCCTTGCTGATCTGGATGACTGGAACAATAGAGAAAGCTGGAGCCAGGATAGCTTCCCACCCTCCCTTTTTATTTTATTTGGCTGAGATTTCCCATTGTCTCTGTAAGCTTTAAAATTTTTGTAAAGTGATCTGACAAAGACAAGCAATCAAATCTGAATCTGGGTCATACCAGGATCTGAGTAGCTAAGCTACAGTAGCTGCTTTTGTTTCTCGCTGATAAAACACATCAGAATAAACTAAAATGGCAATAATTGCATCACAGAAAGTTTCCCTGCAAATGCTTTTCATATATGAAGGAAGTTAGGTACTTACGCCAGTTTCTCATTCTGTGAATGTGGGGATGATAAATGAGAATTACCGTAAGAATGCATAATCCAGGATGTTTAGTGGGGGAGCGGAAAGGGGAATTTTTGAGAGCAGACTCCCTCTTTGTCAGTATTTCATTCAAATCCCTTCTTATTTCAAGGATCTGCCCAATTACTGTTGCCTTTGCGTAGGAGTACTTCCTTTACTGATTTCACTTGTTTTAGTTTTATGCTGTCCCTTTCAAGGTGACTCTTACACTCTACGTACTGTCCTAACAGTAACTTCTTTTACAGGCTGGAAGATTTGAGATGAGGAATTGCAGCAGATGTATGGTGGGTTGACCTTGGCTGGCTGCCAGGCACCCACCAACCGGCTCTTATCACTTCCCTTCCATCAGCAGGAGTGGGGGGGAAAACATGATAAGGTTGCACGAGTCAAGATGAGGACAGGGAGATCACTTTACCATTCACCATCACAGGCAAAACAGACTCAACTTGAGGAAATTTATTACTAACAAATTGTAGCAAAGTAGAATAGTTAAAAATTAAACTAAAACCACCTTCCCCATTATACCTCCCTTCTTCCCAGACTCAGTTTCACTCCTGACTTGTATCCCTCCCCAAGTGATGGAGGGGCATGGGGAGTGAGGGTTGAGGTAATTTCTTAACATGTCTCTGCCACTCCTTCCTCACGTTTTTCCCCTGCTCCAGCATGCAGTGCCTCCCACAGGAGAACGTCCTTCATGACCTTCTCCAGCATGGGTTCCTCCCATGGGCTGTTGTCCTTCAAGAGCTGTTCCAGCGTGGGGCCTTTCCATGGGTTACAGTCCTTCAGGACCAGACAGCTCCAGCATGGGTCCACCATATGCCAGAGTTCCTCCAGAAAATCCTCTCCATTGGCTGCAGCTCCTAAAGGGAGTGTGCTGCTGCATGGGCTGTACACAGGCTGTGACTTCCCTCAGAGCTCATCTAACTGCTCTCATGTGGGATCTTCCACAGGCTTCAGTGTGAATCTCCACTCCACCCGTGGTGCTCCATGGGCTTGCAGGGAGACAAGCTGTGTCACTATGGGGGAATTTCTGTGCTGGCACTTGGAGCATCTCTTCTCCCTCCTTCTTTACTGACTTGTGATCTACATAGTTGTTTCTTTCACATTTTCTACTTTTTCCTCACATCTGCTGTGATGTGTGGCTTTTTTGGTGTTTTTTAATGCTTTCTTGCTGCTGCTGTGCTCAGCCTTGGCTAGCAGTTGGTCTGTCTTGGAGACAGCTAAAGCCGGCTTGATATGACACGGGGCAGCTTCTGGCATTTTCTTACAGCAGCCACGCTTGTAGCCCTGCTGCTGCTGAAAACCTACCACATAAATGCAATACAGGGTGGAACATCTCAAAATTTGTATGATTTTGGTGAGGATTTAATTATCTCATTGATTAGCTTTCCTGTGGCTGCAGGGGTCAATAGATATTTTAAAATCACTTCTCTGACTGGAGGTTTTGGAAAAGAACTTACTTATTAGAATAATAATCTAGACTTCATTATTAGAATAGTTAGGGTTGGAAAGGATCTTAAGATCATCTAGTTCCAACCCCCTGCCATGGGCAGGGACTCCTCACACTCTTACTGCTTCCAGTCCAGTGACTTCTTGTATAGTGGATGTTTAGTTTTGGATCTACTCCAATACCATGCCATACTGTAGAGCATTTCCGTAGTTGCATATCAGTATAAGAACATATAGGAAAAGACCAGAATCCCAAACTGCAACATTCTGGAAGAGAAAGACTTGCAGGCTGTGGGGGGTTTTTTGAGGTTTTTTTTTTGTTTGTTTTTCTTTTTTTTTTTTTCCCCTGAAGCCTCTCTTTCCCTGCATTTTGAGGGGGCTTGTTGGAAAATGAGGCCAAAGGAAGCATCCTAATATTTGTCATAGATCTTTAAAGATCTATTTTTCTCCCAGTATACTGGCTTTCAAAGCAATTGCTGACATCTACAAAGGAAACCAGTTGTATGACTCTACTCTTAGTGATTGCTAATCTTGTTTAATCCTGCTTTGGACTTGCAGCTTTCATTTGCTTCATCTACTTTTGATGCTACAAT